TTTATTACAACAACTTTGTGAAATAGGTATTATTATGTCCACCATATAGATGAGAAAACTGAGGCAAGAAACACTCCCTAAAGGTCACAGAATTGGAAAGTGGTGGAGCTGAGATTCAGTCTGTTTTTATCCACTACACCATGTGACTTCTGGCAGTGGGCCACCAGGCTGATATCAGAATTAAACCAATTTAAAATGTATGCTTCAAAATCTGGGCAGGGGAAAAAGATCACTGCTCACTTAGGTATCAGGGAGGCCAAAGCTTGGAAGCTTTTATTATAGGAATAAAATGAAATGGATGAATAAATATGGTGACAGTCTCTTGAGGAGAAATTGGACTACTCTCATCAAAAGAGTGCCATCTTGAAAGGGTTTTCAAATCGATTTTGCTCTTTTAAGTTCAAACCATAGCTCTGCCATTTGGCCTAGAACACATTAGAAAGTATTCAAATGGGATTACATTTCTTATCAGTTTAAAAGAGTGGCACATCTCACAGACTCAAAGATGGAGAGGTGTGGCAAACAGATCAAAGGGCTAAGAGAGATCTGTTACTCTTTTGGTTTTCTGCTAATGGAGGGTGGAATAAAAGCTGATTATCTTACTAAGAAATTAGTAGAATATGTCTATTTTCTCAGGCCATGTAGGATTCCATCAACCAAGTAGTGAAGCAGGTGAGGAATAAGCATATTTTATCATAAGCTCTATGAAGCATTTCCAACGTGAAGTGAATACAGACAAAATAGAAAAAAAATTCTTAAATCTCCAGAAATGAAAGAAACCACTAGCTTCTTGCAATGCCACTGGATGCCAACAGCAACGGAGTCTTGAGCCTGGGCTCTTAACTGGCAATGAGAAGAATCCCAGACCAGATGGCATTTTAAAATCCAATCGCACTCTATTTGTCTCTCCCCACTAACCTACATTGCACTTAAAGCAATCAGCCATTTCACAAGCTGCAGTATTTCAAAGTAGTTACAACCCTTGAGAACAGAAAAGCTCTCTTAATTGCTGTGAGTTTAAAAATATAGACAATAAAAATTACGGAATTTGTGAAACAACCATGTCTTAATTAAACACACACCCAACACCGCACAGAGTAGAGCTTTTCAAACCTAGTCCATTCATGCACACATTTAGCACAGCTCACAAACACACTTTCCTTCCATTCATTCACTTACTAGTCCCGTTCTTTGGGACTCACTCGCCACCACTGAAAATGAACTTGAGAAGCCCCAGGTCTGTGGGCACCGACACCCCGTTAATTAATACAGCTTGTCCTGCTCCAAGCTCCAGGCAGGACTTGGGGGCTTCGGTGTCACGACTGGCGCTGCCCCCTGGAGGGACGCCCAGCCTCCACCTGCCCTCCCGGAGCGGCACCCCTCGTGGCCCCTGCTCCCTATGAAACACTCAAAGTTGCACTGTCGTCGCTGCCGTTTAATTTTCAGAAATAAAAATGCCGGTGAGACGGACTCCCCCGCCCACCCACCTGCCCGAGACCGTACAACCACACTGAATCGGATCCTCCAGAAGGCTGCCGGCAGCCTGGAGGTGTGAACAATGAACTTCTCTCTGACTCTGACACACACACACACACACACTCGCCCCACGACGGGAAGTTGTGAACTAGCCCAGGTGCCAATGGCGCTACTCCCCAGGCAACGCGGCTGCCGACGGGAGGGGAGGGCCCAGCGCGCGCCCCGGCCGCGCCCCTCGAGTCGCCGAGCGGGCAGTTACCTCCTTCCTCCGGCTCGGCGCCCCAGGTCGGGTGATGAGGGCAGTCTCCTCGCACACCACGGCCACGTCCTCCACGAACACGCAGTCCGGAAGGCTCTCGTCGGCCGGCAGCTCCACCACCTGCAGCCCCAGCTTGCTGCCCAGCACGCCCACGTAGAGCTGGTGCTGCCGTTCCGCGCGGGCGACGTCCACCTCCTCGCCCTTGGCGCTTCTCAGCGCGTGCTGGCCGAGCGACTCCGGCAGCGCCCGCACCACGGCGTGGGTGGCTCGGCCGAAGGCTGCGGGGTGGCCGAGCCCGGCCATGGCTTCCGGAGGCTTAGGGGCGGCGGTGGCGGCGGAGGCGGCCGGGTCCTGCCGCGGGCAGTGCGCTCCAAGCCTGCGAGCGCCCGGCGGCTCCTCTTGGCAGCCGCTGAATGTGGTGCAGAAGGAGCCCAGCTCGCGCCCGGAGCCCTGCCCGCGCGACTGAGCATGCCCAGAGCTCCGGGCGCCGGCCCGCGCGCAGCCCGCGCGCCCACTCCGGCGCTGGCGGGTCTCGCGCCAGCCTAGGCAGGAGTTGTGGCGGCGAGCGCCGCGCGAGGAGTGGGGCCAGGAGAGGCGGCCGGGGAAGCAGCAAGGGCAAGAAGTATGTTCAGGCGGGGGACCTCGGCGAAAAGCCACCCCTACCCAGACCTGGCGGTACCTGTGTTCTGTCGCAGGTGCACACCTCCCATCGTCCCCAGCGCGGAATTGGAGAGCCAGCCTCGGTCTGGACAGAGCGGCTGGAGGGCTTCTTGGTTTTTGCCTGAACAGTTTAAACCTTGCTTACTTACAAAGTCTAGTCCACTTTTGAAGAGCTATAATGGCTTACAGATTCTTCATTTTAAGCTTAAATCGCACGGGTCCCAGTTCTGTTTTCTGGCCTTACCTAAAGTACAAGTTTTTTTGTTGTTTTTTGTGTGTTTGCGTGTGTGTGTGTTTTCACAAAACAGCATTTGCATATCTGAAAACAGTTCTAATTATCTATGCTGCCTAACACCATCCTCTACCCCCAACCCTAACCCCCTCCAGTCCTGGAGCCCAAACCACTGAAAAGTAACTAGTGATTTGGTTTCCAAGTCCTTTCAACATTCTGGTCAGCTTCCTTTTGATACACACCAATTTGCTTGTATCCTTTTAAAATCATAGCATCCGGAAAAGAAACAATTCTTCCTGTGTGGTCTGACCAGCACAGACTACAGCAGCACCCTTGTTCCAGATGCTGGGCCTCTATGAACACTGCCTAAGCCTGTATTCACTTTTTTGGTGGTCTAGGGCCAAGGCCCAGGCTCCAGCCTTCTTGCCAGAACTCTGATCCCAGCTTTTAGGAAACTGGATTTCTAGGAGCAGGTCTGTCTGAGCATCCTAGAATGGTTGCCCCAGTTGAGCCCGGAGATGTGATCTGCCTTCTCTCCCCTCCCACAAGGGTGGTGTGAATTTATAAATGAGCTTCAAAATTCTCAGCTTCACATTTTAGTTTTTTTGTCTGTTTGTTTTTTGTTGTTGTTTTGTTTTGACGGAATTTCACTCTTGCTGCCCAGGCTGGAGTGCAGTGGTGTCATCTCGGCTCACTTCAACCTCCGCTTCCCCAGTTCAAGCAATTCTCGTGCCTCAGCCTCCTGAGTAGCTGGGACTACAGGTGCGCGCCACTACTCCCGGCTAATTTGTATTTTTAGCAGAGACAGCGTTTCACCATATTGGCGAGGCTGGTCTCGAACTCCTGACCTCAGGTGATCCACCCGCCTTGGCCTCCCAAAGTGCTGGGATTACAGGCATGAGCTACCACGCCCTGCCGAAATTTGAGTCTTAAGGACAGCTCTGACACTGATGTTGGGAAGTGGGACCAAAAGTAAAATAACAAACCTTTAAGATCTACTAGGTAGTACTTCTTTTTTTTTTTTTGAGACGGAGTCTTGCTCTGTCACCCAGGCTGGAGTGCAGTGGCCGGATCTCAGCTCACTGCAAGCTCCGCCTCCCGGGTTTACGCCGTTCTCTTGCCTCAGCCTCCCGAGTAGCTGGGACTACAGGCGCCCGCCACCTCGCCCGGCTAGTTTTTTTTTGTATTTTTTAGTAGAGACGGGGTTTCACCGTGTTAGCCGGGATCGTCTCTCGATCTCCTGGCCTCGTGATCCGCCCGTCTCGGCCTCCCAAAGTGCTGGGATTACAGGCTTGAGCCACCGCGCCCGGCCTAGGTAGTACTTCTAAAGCAAAATTCTTGGGGGATCCAGGCAGCCACAATAGACCCAGTTTAGCGTCAGAAATCACTTAATGGTGTCCTCAGATGGAGGATTCCCATCAAAGTTACAGGTGAAAGTTGATCTTAAGTTTACCCAGGTTAAATATAAAATTTATTTATTTTTAAATTAGTTTACTATTTATTCTTTTTTTTTTTTTTTTTTTTGAGATGGAGTTTTGCTTTTGTTTCCCAGGCTGGAGTGCAATGGCGCGATCTCAGCTCACTGCAACCTCTGCCTCCTGGGTTCAAGCGATCCTCCTGCCTCAGCCTCTCGAGTAGCTGGGATTACAGGCATGTGCAACTACACCTGCCTAATTTTGTATTTTTAGTAGAGACAGAGTTTCTCCATGTTGGTCAGGTTAGTCTCAAACTCCTGAACTCAGGTGATCCGCCCGCCTCGGCCTCCCAAAGTGCTGGGATTACAGGCGTGAGCCACTGCACCCAGCTTATTTACTCTTATTATATATTGTTTATTTATTTAGCTCCCAGGTTAAATAAAGTATAGGACTTCATTCTGCCCTTTACTGCAGACTTTACCAGACATTGAGGCTCCGTATGTTTCTAACTGGCCACCATCTAGCAATCTTCATTCATGCCTGTGCCTTGTTGGACCTGAAAACTTCACTTACCACTCAGTGCCCTGAGTCTAACTATGAACAGGGCTCTGTGTACCACTCTGGGCTCATGTCAATCTAGCAGCCAATTAAAACTTGATGTTAGCCATGTCTTTCAGTACTGAAATTGGGTAGGTGTTCTTTTAAAATCTAATTTTGTAGTTATCCCTGTTAAATGTTATTTACTTCTTTCTAACTTGTCTAGTTTTGATTCTGTTATCTCGTGCATTACTTATTACTTCTAATTTGTGCCATCTGAAATTTGATAAGCATGCCTTCTGTCTTCTCTAAGCAGTTGTCAAAAAGTGTTAGAATGTATATATTAGTAAAAAAGAATAATAAAATTACCAAATCCAGTAGATTATAGTTTACATGCTTTTACACTTCAGCAATGAAGGACTGTTTTTAGGAAAATGGACTTTATTGAGCTTAATACATTGATATGTTCATTTTTCCCATGAATATTTATTGAAAATTCCCAAGGCACATCACCATGTTATGCACTTCAGAGTCACAAAAGAAGGAAGCACAAAGACATGATCCCGACCTTGAAGAGCTCACAATCTCACTAGGAAAACAAGACATCCAGAATTGGAGCTGGGGTAAGTGCACATGAGAGGTATACATAACAAAGTGCTACAGGAAGGTGAGAGAAAGAGAGATCTCTATGGTGGGTGGGAGTGGAAGAAAGCTGCTTGAAGGTGATTGGACCTGGTTTAGGCCTTGAATAATTTTTGGATGTGAGTAACTGAAGGAGAGAATGAGAATTCTAAGGGAAAGGCATTTTCAAAGGACACTAGGTAGATCAATTTACATATCTATAGGAGCTGTAACAAAACAACTCCAACACATATAATGGCACAAAGTTGATAGAAGCTTATCTCTTATTCACTTAAAGTCTAACACAGATGTTCCTGATTGGTTCTCAACTCTTTTTTCCAAGCAATATTCAGGGATCCAGCTTTCTTCTATTTTGTGGCTCCAACTCTTCTACATGTGGCATCCAAGTTTTCCATGCTCACTGTATTAGTCAGGTCTCCTGCTGTGAATACAGACATACCCAAGCCTGGGTAATTTATAAAGGAAAGAGGTTTAATAGATTTAGAATTCCACATAGCTGGGGAGGCCTCACAATTATGGCAGAAGACGAAGGAAGAGCAAAGAGATGTCGTACATGGCGGCAGGCAAGACAGCTTGTGTAGGGGAACTCTCCTTTATTAAACCATCAGATCTCATGAGACTTATTCACTACCACGAGAACAGTACAGGAAAGATTCACTACGATGATTCAATTACCTCCCACCTGGTCCCTCCTACAATACATGGGAATTATGGGAGCTACAGTTCAAGATGAGAGTTAGGTGGGGACACAGCCACCCCATATCACTCACCTTTCTCAAACTGGAAGAACAAGAAAGAATATACAGCCACCACATGTGAAAGGCTTAATGGGTCAGGCCTAGAAGGAATGCATATCACCTCTGCTCCCATTCTTCTGTCTAAAATTCTGCCACCCTGCTACAATAACCTTGAGGGAGGACTGGAAAATACAGTCTGCTGTATTTTTCTTTATTAGAAAGAAAAGAAAACACAAGGCTGGGGAAACAGCTGACTGGTGTCTGTCCCCAGAGAACTGTGGGGAAAATGGAAAACAAAAGTGGGAAAGTGGGCTAAGCCTTCATCAAATGAGCTGTGGAGAGGCATATGTTGTGGAAATTAAGAGCATAGCTTCTAGAGCCAGACTGTAGTGAAAGCTTGGCTCTACTATTTCCTTGTTTTATGATCTTAGGCATGTTACTCTTTTCCTCAGTTTCATCGTCATCTATAAATGAGGAGTAATGAACACATTATCATAGAGTTATTATAAATGTTAATATTGCAAAATGCTTACAAAGTGCATAGAATAGTAACTAGAGCCTAATAGATGGTCAGTAAATATTATCCATTGAGAGGTTTTGAACAGAAGGCTTTGCACGTGATTTCCTACCAAAGGCCAAACCACACATGCACATTCACTGAATTATCAGAGTCATATAGCTGCTTGAAGGTATGCTTTCCAGTAGAACTAGTGGCCTTCCTAGGTTGACAGACCAAATCTCACCCACAAGTGTAATCATAGATTCAATAAATATTTATTGAACCCTTGCCAGGTATTGTGCTAGGCACTGGGGATGTAATTATGAATTATAATGTATGGCTTATGGTCAAATTGTTCCTTTTGCGCTTCTGGACATTTCAAGAGCTTTATAAGCAATTTCCTTTAAATTCCCTCTGTTTGACATACCTAAAGCTATTTCTGTTCTGGTTGGATGTTGATTAACACAGGGGCAAGTTTTCTTTTCCATTGATAATATTGCTGGTATCTTGCCTTATTTGAAGTCAATTTTAGATAACAAGTATCTGAAGATTAAAACAGGCATTCCTGTCTTACTCTTTTCTTACTCCATTTTAGCAGATACAAAATTTACTTTCATAGGAGACAGGTGCTTTGAGGTGGGGGTGTGTATTAGTCTGTTTTCACACTGCTGATAGAGACATACCCAAGACTGGGTAATTTATAAAGAAAAAGAGATTTAATGGACTCACAGTTCCATGTGACTGGGGAGGCCTTACAATCATGGTGGAAGGCAAAAGGCACATCTTACATGGCCACAAGGCAAGAGAGAAAATGAGAATCAAGTGAAAGGGGTTTCCTCTTAGAAAACCCCCACACCTTGTAAGACTTATTCAGTACCACGAGAACAACATGAGGGAAACTGCCCCACATGATTCAATTATCTCCCACTGGGTCCCTCCCACAACATGTGAGAATTATGGGAGCTACGATTCAAGATGAGATTTGGGTGGGGACACAGCCAAACCATATCAAGGTGGGAATTCTCAAAGAGAAGGAGGGCTCAAGGGTGTCCCTGTCCATCCTAAGTGCTAGAAATATTGGACCAAGTAAGTACCATAAATCTACAATTTGACACTAAGTCCTGAGTGTTTTAACATAATTATTACATAAATATTTACTGTGAAAGAAGCCCATTGCTGCAGATTACCTTTTATATCCAAGGAGTGAGTGGTGTTTGGTTGAATGGGCAGACAGTGAGTTACAGACCCCGAGAGGGTTCCACGGTAACCAGGACTCTGGTTCCTAAAATCAAGACACATAGCCTCCTAATCTCAGTTTCTCCTACTTTCATCTGGGGTTTCGTTCATTAAAGAAACATTTACTAAGCATCTACAGTATGTATGGTAGAGGAATACATAAAAGCAATGGATAAGGCATGGGTTTTGAGTCAGACAAGCCTGAATTTGATTCCTGGCCCTCCTACATTCTGGCTGTATCACCTTAGTGTACCCAAGACCCGTGTTTCACCATTTTCTTTCTTGCTTGAAGCTATAGAGGACTGATCTTCATGGACTTCATCACCTGACATCCCATTTTTGTTGGTTTTGGTGAATGGGATATACTTACAGGAGACTGGAGGACAAGAGGGGAGAGAGATTGGGTTATTTATTTCTCTGGCTCCCTTCCTGCTTTTTCATGGTTGTAGCAACAGCTCCATCCTTCTACAATCATAGCTTCTGCTGGTGGCCCCTCTTCCATGGTTCCAGCTCTCAGCTGGGTTCTGGTAATGCTGTTGCCTTCCATTATTCCATCTAGGGGTGGTATTGGCTTCTCGTGTTTGCTAGTCCCTGGGTGCCTCAGTGTTCCTCGTTGGTTCTCTTTACCTGCCCACACCTCTAAAAACATTCCTTTTATTAAACATGGTCTTCAGAATTGTTTAAGTATGCCATTTGTTTTTTTACCAGGGCCCTCACTTATAACTCACTTGTTATGTACATATATGTGTATACGTGTGCACATACATTGTCTTGAATTGGTGTGTAAAGTGGGAGTTATAATACCTTTTTCTCAGAGTTTTGAGGCTGAAATGTGACTGCATATACAAGGAATCTGAGCATTGCTTCTAGGACACAGTAAGTACTCAATTGTGATAGCCACTAATATTAACAGTTATTGTGCCCTTGTGCCAGGCATTGTATTCATTATGGAGTATCCATCTGCCTCTATATAAAATGCCTATTTTCACCACTTAAAATACCCAAGTCCTTCAAATGAGATAACATAAAGTGCCCACAACAGTGATAGGGACACTGCAAGCTCTCAGTGCTTTCTGCACTTCAAAGTTCAGCCTTCTCTGGTCCCCACCTCTTCCTGTGCAAGCAACACATTCCTTTTCTGAATTTCTGTAGCTCTTTCTGTGTTCCTCTGTTGGGGCTCAGAAAACAATACCCCAAAACGAAGGCCTCAGAAGCAGCCTCAGAGGTGTAGGTTTGTTCTCTGACCTTCTCCTGCCCTTCTGTCTCTCAGTCCCATGCCCCACTGAGGCTAGGCTCAGAAACTAGAATCCCTCTTCCCCGAGGCGGGTCATAGAAACCAAAATGCCTTTTTTCCCCAAAGCCAGACATAAAACCTAAAAATATTACTCCAGTTTTCCTTCTGCCCTATTTCTGTGAAAAGTGGCCATAAAGAAATTATCTGACATACCTTGTTTGTAGATCATAAGACCCCCATTCCAGAGAAGGTCCTGTCCCACCCCCAGAAGGAAGGAATGCTGCTCAGACAGGCGAAGGAGAATCCAGGCAGACAGACCTGGCTGGGTTTCCTGGCTCAGTTTGTTGGCATTAGATCATACCCTTTTGGTCCACTCATATTTCTACATGGCTGTCCATACTTTGTTAAACCTAAGCATAAAATAGGTCAGTTTCTCCTGTGTCTTTGAGTCTTCATTCTGAAGGCTCCCATGTGTACACCCTAAATAAATTTATATGCCTTTTCTCTTATTAATCTGCCTTTTGAGAGTTGATTTTTCAATGAAACTTCAAAGGGCCCTTGGTCCCCACACCACTCTTATGCTGTTTATTACTTTCTCCTAGCACAGTGTAATAACCCATGGATGCCAGAGTCATCTACCTCATTACAATGACATTAGGGGCTAATGAGATAACCAAAATATCCTGAAAAGTTCTAAGTACTATATAAATATGTTGAATTTTAACAAGTTTGTGATGTATTATGATGATAAGCAGAGGTGAGTGTTGCTCCAAGCTTTTTTTTTAGATTCAGTGGGTACATGTGCAAGTTTGTGACATGGATACGTTGCATAATGCTGAGGTTTGGGCTTCTACTGAACCCATCATCCAAATAGTGAAGACAGTACCCAATAGCAAGTTTTTCAGCCCTTCCCGCCTCCCCTCCTGCCTCTTTTTGGAGTTTGCAGTTTCTGTTGTTTTCATCTTTATGTCCATGGGTATTCATTGTTTAACTCCCACTTATAAGTGAGAACAGTATTGCAGTATTTGATTTTCTGTTTCTGCATTAATTCACTTAGGATAATGACCTCCAGCTGCATCCATGTTGTTGCAAAGGAAATGATTTCATTATTTTTATGGCTGTGTAGTATTCCATGGTGTATATGTACCACATTTTCTTTATCCAATACATCACTGATGGGCACCTAGGTTGATTCCATTACTTTGCTGTTGTGAGTGGTGCTGTGATAAATATATGAGTGGCAGTGTCTCTTTGGTAGAACAGTTTCTTTTCCTTTGGGTAGAAGTGGATTGCTGGGTCAAATGGTAGTTCCCCAAACTTTTATATCAGCTATTTTTTCAGTTTTTCAGAGCTTCTTGCAACATTATTTTTCCAGAAGTATGTTTATGATCATTTGATATTCAATATATATTTATGGGGGAAGAAATAGTTTGAGGGGAAAGACCTTTCAAATTCTGCTAAATCTAAATGTAGAAGAAAAACATTTTTCTACAGTTAAAATTGTTATATATGTATATGTGTGTGTACACACACACACACACACAAACAGGGCTCTGACAACCCCCTTCATTGCCTTGTGAAATGAAGTTGCTTCATTTTCTTATGAAGCACAGAGAAATGCCAGTTTCACAATGCCAGGGAATCGCTGTATTTGCTTTTGTGATATTAACGCACAATGGTTTTAACATAGCATTGGTATATACATGTCCAAAGAA